AATTGTTAAGTTCCTTCTATGAATTGTTTGAGAAGATTATAATTGGCATTTTGTTAGACTAGGAGGTGTGCCATTATGGAAAGAATAAGTGTGCTGTGCAGTTAGGTATACTGTTAGGATTAAAAAAAAATTACTTACTGAAAGAGTTTGCTACATTCATTTTTTATATATAACCTCCACATTCCAAATAGAAATATATAGAGCAAATTTACAAAAACATTCTAGGAACAAATGGTATATTTTGTTATTTTCATTGCCTTCTCTAAACATTAACTTCTGCTTGGAGTCCTGGTGGCACAGTGGTTAAGAGCTCAGGCTGGGAACCCAAAGGTTAGCACTTTAAATCTACCAGCTGCTCCTTGGAAACCCTGTAGGGCAGTTCTCCTCCGTCCTATAGGGTTGCTATGAGTTGGAATTGATGTGATGGCAACGGGTTTGGGTTTTTTTTTTTTGTTCTGTCTGTAAACATTGGTAGATATTTTGCATGCTCCTGTTTGCTCTTTTTCTTTCTTTTTTAAGTGTTTGGTTGTGTTCAGGAAACTTCTTAGCTTTTGCTTTAGTTCAGTTGTGCTGACTTCCCCTGTATTGTGTGAATTCCCCTCTCCCTCCCTCCTCCTCTTCTTTTTTACTGCTACTCCTTTAATAGAAGTCCTAACTACCTCTGCACTGTTGCATATTGCAGTTTTGTAACTCTTTTTTTTTTTTTTATTGTTTCTGCGTCTAATCTATAGTATGCATTATTGCTTAGAATAATTGTATTAAAGTGTAATTTCTTTGATGACATTTACTTTTCTGCAAACATTCAGTAGCTCCTTTTGCTCTATCTACTGCCTTGGCATGACATACAAGGTGTCCACAGTGTGGTATCAACCTAATTTTCTAGCACTCTGTTTTATCTGAATGGGATTACTGATTACTCTCTAGTATGCTTGGTCTTCTCTACCTTTAGCTGTTCCCGCATGTCTGGAATTTGCTTAACTGACCCCTGTTGACCTTTAGATTCCTACTAAGTTTTTAAAGGCCAGCTCAGATATTATCTTCTCATGAACTCTTTTATGATTTTCCTGTTTCACTGCCAAATATATCTCTACTATAAACTTAAAGTAGTGTCACATTTGCCACTTAAAGATATTTTGTATTCTAATATGATTATTGGAAGGGCTTGTTTTATCTCCTTCATTAAATTGCAGGATATCAGGAGCAAGGACTTTAAGGAAGTGTTCATTAAATATTTAAAAGGAGAATGAACTTCTCTAATTCTGTTCTTGCTTCTCCCGTATCCCCTCTCTTGTGTGCCACCGCTTTCCCAAGAAAAGATGAAAGAATCCTATAGTTTGGGTAACTAGGTTTTACCTATTTTTATACATCATAGTGTTAACACATATTTGTTATTTAAAGCTCATGGATCTATTTTGATATCTCAAATTATTTAAGCAAAAGAAAAGGCACCTTTTCTGTTTATTATTGCATTCCTAATGCTCGGCTCCGTCTCATAGGCATGTAGTAGATGTTCAATAAATATTTGTTGGATTACTTAAGACAGTGTGATTCCTTAAGTGGTTTTTCCAATTTTTGTAAAAGAACATTTAAAAAAAACAGTCCTTTAATGAACAAAAATATATTGCTACGTTATTCAGAGATTATTTCTCAACAACTTCAACTGTTAGGAATGTAGATGGAGACTCAGAAGGAAGTACATTTGACAGTCCTTTCATAGAAGAATCCCTGGTGGCACAGTGGTTAAGTGCATGGCTGCTACCTGAAAGGTCAAGAAATTGGAACCTACCGACCGTTCTCTGGAAGAAAGATGTGGCAGTCTGCTCCTAAAAAGATTACAACCTTGGCACAGCTTGACCAGATCAAAGTCATAGAAGCCTCACAGACACATGAAAATGCCCTGAGAGACCGAGCTACTAAACTGTGTGCTGGGACCATGGTCTCAGGGGACATCTGGCTCAATTGGCATAACATGGTCTGTGGAGAAAGTGTTCTGCATCTGACTGTGGTGGGTGGTGACTAGGGTCATGGGAGCCTGTGAGCAGCCATCTAGGATACATCTACTGGTACCATCCCGGCTGGAGTAAGGGAGAAGGAAGAGGACCAAGGACACAGGGGACGGTTAGTCCGGAGGACTGGTAGACCACTACTACCACGGTCTCTACCAGACTGATCCCGAAACAACTGGACGGTGCCTGGTTGCCACCACCGACTGCTCTGGTGGGGATCACAATGGAGGGTCCTGGACAGAGCAGGAGAAAAATGTAGAACAAAATTCAAATTCACAGAAAAAAGAATACCAGGCTTACTGATCCAACAGACTGGAGAAACCTCGACAATATGGTATGCTCCCCCGCCCCGGACACACTTTTAGCTCAGTACTGAAGTCACTCCTGAGGTTCACCAAGACAAGGGATTAAAAAAAAAAAAGTTTATAGCCTTGGAAACCCTAGGACAGTTCTCCTTTGTCCTGTAGGATCCCTATGAGTTGGACTCGACTTGATGGCAATGGATTTGGTTTGGTTTTGGGTTTCATAGAAGAACCTCAGAATCTGTTTATATATATACATATATATATAAAACAACTACTTAAAGTTAATTTGAAGCAACAAATTAAGGAGTAGCTATGAGTTGTTAGAGGTTGCTAAATTAAGAGCATAAGAAATTTAAAACTTTCACTGGTATAGAGAAAAAAAATTTTAGAAAGATTTTTAAAAGCTTAGTAGCTGAGAGCTGTTTATAAGTCTTAATTACAGCTCCAGGATCTTAATTTATATAGCATAGTAAAAGCAGAATTTCAGAGTTGCGGTAAACTTGAATGGACCTCTCATTCACTATTTCTGAACCTTTTTTCTGCCTTTACACATGTAAGGGGTAGATACGCCACGTAAGAGTGGTAAGAATGGCTCTGGTAAGAGTGACTCACACTAAAATAGTGATTCACTGAGCAAGCAGAATGGGACAAGTGGATGTGAGTTTGTGCATAGGGGGTGCTGACATAGCCCCTGGATAGGGTTATATCAGAATCTCTGTTTATGAGAAAGCCACCAAGCATGCAGTTTGAACTTGTCTCCATTCCTCTGCCTCTCATGATTATATCTCACCTCCCCATCCCCAGACATTCTGTTGTCTCACTCATATTCACCTTGGAGAAATCTGGTCTTATCCAGTCTGTTAATATTATACATAAGCAAACTGAGGCCCACTAGAGAGATTGAGTGACAAGGCAGCCACATAGCTGGTGGTTATTGTCAGACTAAGGTTATTTTCAGATTAAGATCTCAGTTGTACTGGGTTCTAGTTCAGTATTTTCTATTCTGCCCATGTAATAATTTATATTCAAAATGATAGGGTAACTATTAAGACTAAAAAATTTTAATTGTACTTTAGATGAGGTTACAGAAAAAACTAGCTTCTCATTAAACAATTAGTACACATATTGTGACATTGGTTACCAAACCCACGACATGTCAGCACTCTCCCTTCTCGACCTTGGGTTCCCTGTTACCAGCTTTCCCGTCCCCTCCTACCTTCTAGTCCTTGCACCTAGGCTGGTGTGCCCCTTTAGGCTTGTTTTGTTTTATGGGCCTGTCTAATCTTTGGCTGAAGGGTGAACCTCAGAAGTGACTTTATTACTGAGCTAAAAGGGGGCCATACTCTTGGGGTTCCTCCAGTCTCTGTCAGGCCAGTAAGTCTGGCCTTTTTTTGTGAGTTAGAATTTTTTCCACATTTTTCTCCAGCTGTGTTCGGGGCCTTCTATTGTGATCGCTATCAGAGCAGTCAGTGGTGGTAGCTGGGCACCATCTAGTTGTACTGGACTCAGTCTGGTGGAGGTTGTGGTCCATTAAAGAGTAAAATTTTGTTCCCAAACTCTTTATTAAAAATAATAGGAAGTGTGTATTATAATTTAGAAAGATTTTTTGTTTTAAAATTGCTAAGACAGACAAACACAACAGCTACACACTTGGAACTGAAACTGAGACATTTAAGGTGGAAGAGTTCATTTTCTCATGATGAGTAAATACATAAATGCAGTGTTAAGATAAATTGATCACCTATTAGCTCTTAGTTTACTGGGAATCTTTTAGGTACAAAAATAAAATGTAGATGACTTCTGGGCATTTAGATTCTGATTTTATAGTTACATTAGTTTTCTGTTGTTGCTTAATGAATTTAGTGGCTTAAGACAGGAGACTTTATTATCTCACAGTTTTCTTGGAGCAAGAGTCCAGACGTGGTTTAGCTGGGTCCTCAGCTGAGGGCCTCATCATGCTGAAAGCAAAGTGTTAAGCCAGGACTGTGATCTTATCCGAGGCTCAGAGACCTCTTTTAAGTTTACCGGTTGTTGGTAGAATTCAGTTCGTCATGACTATAGGACTAAGGCCTTAAGTTCCTAGATGCTGTCCACCGTTCCCTGGTGTTTAACCCTCTCTACAGCATGGCTGTTTGCTTTTTTAAGGCCAACACGAGAATGTCTGTAATGCTTTGACTGTCTCTGATCTAGGCCCTTTTTTTTTAAAGGGCTCACCTGATTAGGTCAGGCCTACCAGGATATTCTCCCTTCTAATTAACTCAAAGTCAGCTGACAGTGACCTTTGCCATATAGCATTAACCTAATCATGGAAGCAAAGTCCCATGAATCTTGCCCACACTCAAGAGGAGGGCATAGGGTTATTCAACAAAATGAGGTCAATAAAAATGGTGTCTTTCCTATGTGTGAAGCATTCTTTTAGGCCATGGAAATACAATGAGGTGGTATAGAGACGAACAATAAAATACTGGTATAGTTTAGTTCAATAAATGCTGTGACAGAGGTGTACCCAGAGTACAGTGTGAACATCAAGGCTAAGGTATAGAGAGGGAGGATTGGTCAAGGAAAGTTAATTATGTGTGTGGAAAAAGTAAGCAAACAGCTATATTGTTAAAACTATGTATTTTTTTAGGAAGAAAAGTTTGGCATTTATGTTGATGAAATTATTAAATGGCTTTTTCTTTTCTCCTAGATGGTATACCTCAAGTTTACTATTTTGGCCCTTGTGGTAAATACAACGCTATGGTGCTGGAACTGCTGGGACCTAGTTTGGAAGACTTATTTGACCTGTGTGACAGAACATTTTCTCTTAAAACAGTTCTCATGATAGCTATACAACTGGTAAGTAAAGCAGAGTGTATTGTAGTTGTTTGAACAACTGTGTAGTTTGTTTGGTCATACAGTTAAAAGTTTAAAGTTTTGTGACATTACCTTACAGAGCATTCGACCTAATAAAAATGCTCCTCTTCATATATTGTCTTTTAGGATGTGTATAACTTAAAATAGCTGAATCAAGATGTATTTTATGTATATGAGAGAATTTCTTATTTCTGTAAGAGCAGAATTCTCAGTTTGAGAGTTGTTTCCAGCACCTTTTTGATGTAGAAGATGATTACTTGGAAAGAGATGCTTCAGAAACATGGATTCTTAATCTTGATAATAGACTCTAATGGCCTAGAAAAAGGAAAAAGACTAATGAGAGAATCTTAATAAATTATTTAAACTTCATAGAGTCTGTGAAAAAACAATACAGAGAGTGATTTAAGGCAATATTGAAGTAAAAGCCAGTAGAAGTATGCTGCAGAAGTCTTAAAAATGTTTTATCCTTTGACTCATCAATTCCACTTCTCCACTTCCATATCCTATGGAAGCATTCAGGTATACTTAAAGCTTTTTCTACAAGGATGTTGATAATAAAAAAATGGGAAACAACTCAAATGTCCAGAAATAATAGGGTTAGTTTGTATGAGTTATGAATAGTCCTAAAGTCATATGCAGCCACTAAAAAAGTGTGTATTAAAAGAATGTTTTATGACCTGGAAAATGCTCATAATGTATTGTGAAGTGAAAAGTACAAGTCATAGAAGATTATATATCATAGGATCCAAAATCTGTTATCAAACAAAGAAACTGAAATGGCCTGTGTAACTGTATGTGTACATTGCATTGTTAATCATGATTATTACTAAATTAAGTGGTTTCGTTTGTAATGTTCTGTTTTTTGAAGTTTTTACACTGAAAATTATTCAAGAACCTGTAAAATAGTTAATAAAAATCTACTACATAATTATTAGAGTTGAATTCCAGAATTTTGTAATTTCAAGATCTTCTTAAGCACTTAATACTTGAGGAAAAAGTAAAGAAGTTATAAAAAAGAAAAAATACTGAAAGTTGCTTTGTTAATTATTTAATAATTTAGACTCTTAAGTTTCTATAATATAATTGTGAAAGTTGTGTGGTTACTGATCTGATAAAGAAAGATAAATTGCAACACTGTGAGTGCCTGTTTACGTTTTTGAGTTCAAGATTTTGTATCAGTAGAACTTTTTGATTTTACGTAACATCATCTAAAAGTATTGATTGAATCAAGCTTACTGATATGAAAGGAATTTATAAAATTCAAACATTTTCATTTGCCAGTGACTGTGACAGTAAAGGCATAGATTTTTAGTCATAATTGAGTGTATATTTGAGGAACTATAGACTGATACATTACTTTTAAAAAATTGAAATAATTTCAAATTGTTTTTCTTCTTAATGTTGTTTTCATTGTGAAAATTCTGTCTTTCCTTTAGCATGCTTTCTCCTGCTATTTAAAACTTTAAATTTCTCTTCTTTTTTTCCTTGAATCAAGATTTCTCGTATGGAATATGTCCATTCAAAGAACTTGATATACAGAGATGTAAAACCTGAGAACTTCTTAATAGGACGACCAGGAAACAAAACCCAGCAAGTTATTCATATTATAGATTTTGGTTTGGCAAAGGAATATATTGATCCAGAGACAAAGAAACACATACCATACAGAGAACACAAGAGTCTTACGGGAACAGCTAGATATATGAGCATAAATACACATTTAGGAAAAGGTATGTGTTCCTTTTGTAAGTATGGAAGTTTGAATTCAGCAACTATGCTAACAGTTGGAGTTTTTATTTTTTAGTATGGTTCAATTTTTGCGATTACAACTGCTTCTGTTGTAGTTTTTATTTATCATGTGTAGCTTGAATTTATTTCCATTTATATTTTAATAAGACTCTTCAAGTAAGTAGCTCTAGAGTAAATGACAGCCATCCTTACATTCACTACATCTTTTTTTTAAAATAAAACTTGAAATGTTCAACTTTTATTCATTTATGGTGACATTTGATTGTTTCTATTGAAGAATATGAAAGAATGCCTAATTTTAACTGACTTTAGTACATGTAAAAAATTCTGATTGAGACTGTAGCTCTCTGATATGACTAGCCAGGGAGATAGCAACTTGCCTAATAAGCTTAATGCTAAGAACACATACTGTAGAGATATGCAGACTTGGCTTCTAATCCTGGTTTAACTGTGTACTAGCTTTGTGAACTTAGGCAAGTTGTTTATCTTTTTAAGGGGGTTTCTTATTTGTGAAATGGGTAAAAACAGTATCAGCCTTACAGGGTTCTTGTAATAATGCATTATTAAAATATATAATAAGCGCTCAATAAATGATGGTTTAATAAAAGATCTTTAAATAAAATTACACGTTCAAAACCAAATATTAGTTACGATTACCTCCCTTGAAAAGAAGAGTTGTCACTTAAAAAGACCATTTCAAAGAACAAGCTCTTCTAGTATATTTAAAATATATAAACAGTCTGCTGCTTTTGTATATAATGTACCACTGAAAATGTTTGAAAAGCATTGTGCAACATTTAAACAATAAAGTTCCCTGTTTCCAGAGAGCTGAAAATATAAAATTGTTAATTATACCTTTTTTTTTGTGTTAGTCTATAACCGCGCGGCGCCCTGGTGGCACAGTGGTTAAGAGCCTGGGTGCTAACCAAAAGGTCAGCAGTTCGAATTCACCAGCTGCTCTTTGGAAACCCTATGGGGCAGTTCTACTCTGTCCTGTAGGGGCACTGTGAGTTGGAATTGACTTGAAGGCAGCAAGTTTGATTTATAACCATTAGGTTGAACCTTTTTAAAATATTGACAGTTGCATATGATTAACCTAATATTTGTTTCTGGCATTTCATACATGCTTGTTTGTTCATTCATTCACTTCCTTCTCAGTTGGTTAGCCAACTTAAAGCCAGTGAGTATGTTATACTAAAGAAACAAGTTTTATCTTTCTATTAAATAAATAAAATATACTCTCATCAGTGAAATTGGCATTTTATTTTCAAATTAAAAATTTTAAAAGGTAATACCTATGTATGATCAAAAACATTTAAAGGGTAAGTAAGTTTCCCACCCATCTCAACCTCTTAATTCTCCGAAGGCAACATATACAAGCCTGTATGTATTTATTTGTTTTATATTTATATATATATATATATATATACACATATATGTATGTATGTATAAAGGTTGCATATATAGCAGCAGCATATTAATTTTTCTGTTCATTTAATGTTGGGGTAAAGTTCAATAAATTATTCAAGTAAGTATATAGAAATAACAGTACAAAGAAAGTGCTTTATGATATTGAACTGTTGTTTGACCAGTAGCACCACCATGTGATTTAACTCAAAGCATTCGTTCACTGAGTGATATAAAAAGAGACCAAGTACAGAGTGTGATACATGTTGAGAGTAATTGTATTAAAGCACACATTAAGAAGAAAACTAAAGGAATAACTCTAAGAAATAAATTACAATGGTGATAATAAAAGCAGACATTTATTCAGTAAATTACTTTTTTAGCCTTTTTTGTGTCCCAGACTCGGGGGGATACAGTTGTGAAGCAACCACACACAATTTCTTGCCCTCATGGGACTGATAATCTAATGAGGGGTGAGGTAGGGTAAAGGGCAGATAGTAAAAGACATGAGAAGGTAAAAAGTGCTCTGGAGATGAATAAAGCAGGGATGGGGGCAAGGGAATACTGGAGAAGGGGGTAGGTGTACAGTTTTAAACGGAGTGGGCAGAGAAGGGCTCAACCTAGCAGTTGACATTTGAGAAAGACTTGAAAGAGATGAGGGTGAGAGCCAACAGTTGTGTCTGGGAAGAGTATTCCCAGCAGAGAGAGCAACAAATGCAGTGGTTCTAAGGAGGGAGCAGGCCTTGTCATGTTCAAGGAATAGCAAGTAGGTCATAGTGGCTGACTCAGAGAAAGTAAAGCGGGAGCAGAAGGAGGTGGAGTCAGAGAGGTGAGGGGTCAGAATGGGGCTTCAGATTATGCTTACTTTGTGCCAGACACCGTATATCAGATATTGCATTTATTCTTCACAACATCCGTTGAGGTGAGTACTATTCCCGTTTTATAGATGAAGAAACTTAAAGAGTGTTTAAGGGGCCTGCCCCAAGACACATGGCTAAAAGTGGTAGAGCCAGGTTATAAATCAAGGCAGACTGATCTGAATCTCTACACTTCACCCCTCCACTATACTTACTGCCTGCCCAAAAGGTATGCACTTTTTGGGATCATATCTATTGTATAAATCAAGGTACATACACAGTGTAGGATTTTTCACTCTTGCCATTGACTCTTATATAGGCCGCTACACTATGTTGTAAATAGAGAGATGTTTCTTCTTTGAGACATTTTAATAACCATGTCACTGTGGTTTGGATTTAGTACAGGAGCGTTGGTTTGCAATTGCTGTTACGCTTTTAAAAGTGTAGAATTCTCTATTAGAATATTCTTACTACACATGGAAATTCATGTTTTTTGAAATCCTAATAAATAATGCCAAGATAGGGGTGACTCTGATGCTTAATGTGAGTAAGATGCTGATAAACAGAGCAGAAATAGTTTAAAAACGTTAGTGACATATCACTGTAATACCTAAGTGACTCGTTCACTGAGATTGATAGGACTTTTACTAAGCGAGCAAAAGAGGACACAGCTAAGAAGGTGATGGCAAGTGTAAGTAGGATTTAGAAAAATGAAATACCAACTTTATCTTTTGTGGAAGAAGCAGAAATGTTTCTTCTGTTTTGGCCTGTATGGAGATCTTAGAAGTTTCAGGTATTGGAGTACGGTTGGTGAAGCCAGATAACTGGGTTGTCAAATAAATTATAATTTGAAAATTGCTGTAATAGAAGGATTATCCATCATTCTAAAATAAAGTTAACAAAAATTGGGCAGTCAAGGCTACATGTTAATTGTTAATAGTATTAAAAGATAATATATTTTTATTTTATTACTCTACAGTTCATACTGCCTGTCAAGTACATAGCAAAAGAGTAGGTTATCTGGACTGTTATAATTCAACTTCCTTGATCCGGTTAACTGCTCCTTGTGACATACATTTAGCAATTATTCTATCTTAGAGTAAGCTTTATAAAAGTGCTAGAACTATAAGAGGAATTTGACTATTGACCTATAAAACTAACCTTTCTTAAAAGTATATGAGATTTTTATGTACTTTTACTTTGTATAGAATGTGGTCTTTAAATTTAATCAGAAAGTAAAATCGCCTTCATTTGATAAGTACTTATATGGATGTATAAATTAATGTTTAGCCCAACCTTAGTATTTGATGTGTTGGATATATAAATTAATGTTTAGCTCAGCCTTAGTTAGTATTTGATGTATTTATCACTGAAATGCTGTTGTAACATCCTTTTCCATGTATGTGTGTATTCCCTCCCCACCAAATCATTTGAGAGTCAGTTGAAGACATCATGGTTCTTTACTCCTAAATACTTTGGTGTGCGTTTCCTAAAAATAGAGATAGTCTCTTATATAACCACATAACAGCCATCAAAATCAGAAAATTTAATATTGAGACAATACTATTATCTAATCCACAGTCAGTATTCAAATTTCATCAGTAGTACTAATAATGTTTGTTATAGCTTTTTTTTTTTTTTTTTTGGATTTGAAATCCAATCCAGGGTCACACATTGCGTTTGTCAAATCTCTTTAGTCTGTTTTCATCTTTGTGGTTCATAACCTTAATATTTTCTAATGTAAGTAGAAGCTCTGTTTTCCCCTCATTTATTTACTTATATTGGTATGGACTCATGGACTCTTATTTTATATAATGTACTATAATGCATTACTGTTATTATTTATTTTGATGCTCAGATTGTTCCAGATTTGATCACTGGTTCCTCCGTCAAGCAGGCTCCTCTGTCCTTTTGACATGTTCCCATGATTTTTTTAGCACTTCCTTATTTTCTGGTGCAACAAGTTGTTCTAAGTTCAACTTGTAGTTTCCCTGATCCAACCCTGGAATCAGTCATTTCTTTAAGAAGCCCTGAGTCCTTTCATTATAGAACGGTATTTAGAAACCAAGAATTGGACAGTGGGTATGCTCATTGCTACTGGTATGTTATTGCTTTTAAGCCCTTTCTTCAGACAGAACTAGAAAATTGTGTTTGTGTGTATGTGAGTGTGTGTACATGTGTGTACATATATGTAAATATACACACAGGTATACCTATGCGTATATATATGTGTATATTAAAAATCAGGAATTTATACTGATACTTCTACTTTCAGTCTAAAACCACATGGTGGTATTTCCCTTTTCTATTTTTGTAATTCTCTTCCCTTTTCTATATTTGTACCTCCCTTTGCCAACGGTGAGAAATCTGGCTACCACTACTCCCAATATATTTACTTGTTTTTGGAAGGCTAGGATAAACTCAGAAAGTAGTTTCAGAATTGTGAATTGAGACCACTTTGTATAGCAAACGTACTATAATTAACACTGTTTTAGAAATAAATTCTTATTTTATTGAAGAGCTTTTTAAAATTGAAGTAAAATTCACATTGAATAAACCACACATTTGCGTGTATAATTTGTGAGTACTAACAAATGTACACACCTGTCAAAATTGAGAACACTACCAGGATTGTGTAAACTTCATTCTTAACTCCTTCTCAGTCAGTCCTCTCCTACTCCAGAAGCAAGCACTGAGTTGATTTCTGTCACCATAAA